GACTGCCAGAAATAAAAACAAAAGGGGTAAAAACAAATATTCATAATGATATTTATTTTTCCAAGGATATTTCTTTGTTTGCTAATGATATTTGTCTAAGAGAGAGAGAGAGGTGGAAAGAATGAAAGAGGTGGAAAGAAAGAAAGAAAGAGAGAGAAACAAAGAAAGCAAATAGATGGGGGAGGTAGGGGGAGGAAGGAAGGAAGGAAGGAAGGAAGGAAGGAAGGAAGGAAGGAAGGAAGGAAAAGCATGCCCCCCCTTCACTTCCCCAACCAGCCTGCCAGGAGCCACACAATATGCATGAAAGAGCTGCATGTGGCTCCTGAGCCGCAGTTTGGCCACCCCTGATGTAGGGTTATGAAGGCAAAAGAAGAGCAGAGGTAGTTTGGCATTGCCTGCCTCTGCATAGTGACCCTGAACTTCCTTGATGGTCTAATCTGGGAGAACTGGGTTTGATCCCCCCACTCCTCCACTTGCAGCTGGGTTTGATTCCCCCACTCCTCCACTTGCAGCTGCTGGATGACCTTGGGCAAGCCCTAGTTGTCTCAGAGCTGTCCTTGAAAGAGCAGATCTTTCAAAGCTCTCTCAGCCCCACCTACCTCACAGGGTGTCTGTTGTGGGGAGGGGAAGGGAAAGGAGTTTGTAAGCCTCTCTGAGACTCCGAGTGGAGGGCAGGGTATAAATCCAATCTCCTCCTCCTCCTTCTTCTTGGTGGCCTCCCATCCAAGTACTAAGAAGGGCCGACCCTGCTGAGTTTACAAGATCTGACAAAATTAGGCCAGCCTGGACTATTCAGGTCATGGAACAATAATAGTTGTTGTGTCATGTGTGTGTTCCTTCCCTTTGGTACCCTTAGAAGCTCACTGATTCACAAATCTTGAGCAGCAGAAAACCCTTATTTCTTATTTTTGGATGCAAGGGCTAAAAGGACCGAGACACATTTTGTGATTGCTAGAGTGATCATATATGTGTAATGATCGGTCCCAAAATTTATGATTTTCTGCCTTTGTTAAAAAAATAAAAAGCAGATTAACTTCTATTCAACAGAGGGTGATGGATTCACATTAAAAAACTGGAATGAACACTATAACACGTTGAAGTGTGGTAAATTTAGACTGCATTTTAAAGCATGTTTTTGTTTTATCGGGTTTGATGTAGTGATGTGATTCTGTAGATGCCGTGGCTTCATCCCCTCGAGTGTGACATTCTCTGTCCCTACCCCACAGTAGCTTGATGTATCACCCCCAAAATATAGCTGTTGGTGCCCACCCCCCGGAGCAGGATTTGGGTAGTCTTTTGGACAGTCATAGCAGGGGGGAAGCCGAAAAAGTCACTCTTCACAGGTAGAAGTCCTTACACCTGTGGAAACCGTGCTGGTTCCAACCCAAAATATACATTTAAAAAAAGAAAAATCAGATATTATTATTATTATTATTATTATTATTATTATTATTATTATTATTATTATTATTATTATTATTATACTATCTTTATTTTATCTTCAGTCCAGGCCATACTGCAATCCAGGCTTATGGGTGCTCCTTTCTTAGTGGTAGAAAGAGATCTTCTTAGCAAAAACTCATTTTTTAAAAAAGTAATACGATGCAGTCAATATATATATATATATATAT